ATTTATCAGTTAATCTATTAAATTTTATTTAAATATGTATATTTAATATTAAAAAAATTATGAATATTTTATAAAATTGATCATTTTAAATTTATTTTTAATTTATAAGAATATGATGATTTTAAATATTAGTTTTTTTTATTTTTAAATTTGATATTTAATTTATAAAAATATATATTTATAACGATAAATCCAAAATAATACATAAAAAATTTTAGTATCTGGTAAGTATTATTTCAATAATAAAATTGATACATATACTGATACGATATTTATAACTTAAAAAAAAAACACACAGTAGAGAAGATATTAGGGGTTGCACGCTGCACCATTTGCTCTTCTGTTTTTCATGAGTTGGGAGAGAGCGATTTCTGGGTTATGTTAGATGTTGGGCTTAATAAATAATTGAGGTCCAGAGTTATTGGGCGAAACTCTTGAGTATTATTTTGGCGAAGCAGGCCTAAAATTTAATTGGTGTATTCATAGGCTATGAACCTGCAACATGACATAGCAAATCTTGACTCTTGATCGGGCCTTCCTTAGCTTGTGTCTAAAAAATAGTAGAACCTTTCATTTGTCTTTGCCAAGCATTCTCAACGAAACGAGTTCTAATTTGAAAATTTTCTAACTCAATAGTATAGGTAGAACGGTGTATTTGAATAGTCTCTTTTATTTATTGTTTTCGTGTAGACTCATGTTAATTAAGTTCACTTTTCTTTGATATGATTAAAAACAAGTTAATCTCCACATCAGGATTAGAAAATGTGTTTGCTTGAATTGCTCTGACCATGATACGAGACAAACAAACTTACAAAAATTTGAGAGTAAATTTTGAAGTAGACACTTCAATACTTAAATTAATAATAATTTACTCTATAATCAAAGTAAACAAAGAGAAATTTACTCTATAATAATCAAAGTAAACAAAGAGAAATTTACAGGTCAAAATAATATTTTGAAGAGAACCCCCAAAGAGGCGAAGTTCAGATGGTTTTCTGAAAACAATTATTGAAGTACGATCTAGTGCCTTAAGTGATCTTCTTAAAGATGCGAATTAAATGCCATGAGATATGGTGAGCTTTTCATGCAACTGAAAATTGAGACTGAGATGAAGGCAGGCTTTAGCCTTTTGAAGAGATGAAAACTTCAACTTTCAAAAACACAATGCTATTTAAAGGAGAGCAGTTTTTGAAGTTGATATATATCCTCACATAAAATTGATAACAAAATTATATCCTTAGTAATTTTTTTTAAAAAAATTAAATTTTAATTAATAAAGTGAGAATAATTTTTTTTACTAACTAAATTAAAATTTGTTAAATATTAAAGTTATATTTTTTTTTCTTTGCTTTCTTGTTAATAACCACCTTAAACTTAAAACGCTTTTTAATGTACCTTGGTCATATTGAATTAGGATTCAAATTTATGATGATGAGTTGCATTGCTATGCGGATGAAAGCTCGAGTACAAATTCGAAATTCTTAACACAAAACGAGAATCTGTCGCGCGATATGCTACTAGAAGTCTATAAGGTATGTACCAAAAAAAAAGTTAGGACATACAGCTACGCAAAAAGTCGCAATCATATCATCCCGAGAAAAAAGTGAATCACGACAACAAATTTAGCCACCAAACAACGCGCGTCATCGATCCGTTGCTTTCTTTAATTGTTGTATAATTTAAGATGTGTTCGCAAGTTGAAAAGGACATACTTTATTATATTCTGAATGCATATGTCATACCATCTGGCTCATCCACCAACACAACAAGAAGCTGATCCACATCTTTTAATTCTCACTTCTTCTTTATTTCTTTTTGTTATTCAACCATTGTGGACCACCCACTTGAGAGATATTATTATCGTATTTTTAATTTTTAATTATTAATATTATATTATATTATATTATATTATATTAAAATAATATAACATTAATTATTTAATGTATAATAATAACCCATCCCCATCATTGAATAAAAAAAGATAAAAAAGAATAATAACTATTTATTAAAATGATTGAGGTCCAGAGTTATTGGGCGAACCTTTTGAGTACTACTTTGACGAAGCAGGCCTAAAGTTTAATTGGTGTATTCATATAGGCTATGAAACTGCAACATTTTTTTGGTATAACTTAAATATGAGTTATATTTGATATTTAATTTAAAAATTTTTAGATATAATTTTTTAGATTTAAATACTTAAAAATTTATACTTTATATTTAACTTAATAAGTATTAGGTAATTTATAGGTATAAATTATGTACGTATCTTAATGAAAGAAGTGATTTTATACGACTTGTTATTATTTTATATGTGATTTTTTTAGTTTACATGTCTTATTTTATATTTATTTTTGTGTATTTTATTATTTTTTATTTTTAAAAATTATTACTATTAGATAGATATTAAGTATAATATGTATATATAAAATTTCAATGATATAAATACAAGTAATAAGTTAGTTAAACAAGTTAGTTATGTAGGTCGGATAAACAATTTTAAACATTTATATTTGTTATTTAACTTTATATTTACAAATATATATGTTGTTTTTATACCCATTACTTATCTAATTTTTTTTTATAGTTTAAATATAATATTTATTTAAACAAGTAAGATACTTACAAATAACAAATGTATCATATTCAATGTTCACCCCTAAACATGACATAACAAATCTTGACTCTCGATCAGACCTTCCTTAGCTTGTATCTAAAAAATAGTAAAACCTCTTTATTTGTCTTTGCCGGCATTCTCCACGAAACGAGTTCTAATTTGAAAATTTTGTCACTCAATAGTATGAGTAGAGTGGTGTTATTGAATAATCTACCTCGTTTATTGTTTTTGGTATAGACTCATATTAAGTTCACTTTTCTCTGATTTGACTGAAAACAAGTCATCTCGGCATCAGGATTAGAAAATTGTGATGATCTAAATTAGCTCTACAGTCCTTGTCGAAGCCCACGACGCGAGATGAACAAACCTACAAACAATTGAGGGGGTACTTGAGATAAACAATTTGATATTTAAGTTAATAATAGTTTATTTTATAATTAAAGTAAATTAAGAGAAGTTGACATGTTAAAAAAAGTATCTTGATAATTAAGGACCCTTAAAGGGTACTTATGACTAAAGAGTGAGCTTCATGTGATACTCTTAGAATAATTATCAAAAGACGACATATTTTTTAAGTAATTTTTTTTGGAGATACGAATTAGATATTATGAGCTCTCATAAGTTTTTTGTGCAAGCAAAAATAAGAACTGTGATGAAGGCTTTGGCCTTTTAAAGAGGTGAAGACTTCCACTTTTTGAAATACAGTTTAATTCAAAAGAGAGCCAGTAGAAATGTTCAAATATATCCTTACAGAAAACTAGTAAAAAATTACATTTTTATAGATTTTTTTTATAAAATTAAATTTTAATCAATAAAATAAAAATAACCTCTTTTATTAATTAAGTTATTACTTTTTAGGTATAGAAATTCTATTTTGTTTTTTTTTTCCCTTTTGTTAATAACTCCCTTAAACTTGAAGCATCTTTTAATCGAATTAACTTGGTTATATTAAATTAGGAATCAAATTCACGATGATGGGTAGCACTACTATGCTTATGAAAGCTCGAGTGCTAATTTAAGACTCTTACCAGAAAACAAGAAACTGTCGCGCGAGATGCTACTAGAAGATAGTATATGCATAAAAAGTTAGGACAAATAGGTACTCACGCAATAAAGATGCTCACCAAAGTCGCGATCATAGCATCGCAAGAAAAAATGAATCACGACACACAAATTTAGCCAACATCGATCCAGAGAAAGCTCATCATGTGTTGCTTTTAATGACGGTCATAGTTTAAGATATGATTGACAGACAAAGAGTACCAAATTGAAAAAGGACACTTTATTCTATTCTGAATTTATATGTCATATCATCTGATTCATCCACAGACGCAAACAAAAGCTGACCCACATCTCTCAATTCTCACTTTTTTTTTTTTATTTTAGTAATTCTGACATCGTGGGCCCACCACTGAACAAATAAAGTCAAAAAAGAAAAAATAATCAAAGCTGACATGAATGCTCTCTTTTCGAACTACTAATAATTAAACAAATCACTCCAACTATAAATACCCAAGCTAGTATTTGCAGCAACCCAGCATCTTCGCAGTATTAGCGATGACAATTCTCTGAAAACAACAACACAGCATCTTCGTAGTGTTAGCAATGGCAGTTTTCTCGAAAGTCCTTACCAAAATTGACGTAGAGAGAAGGCTGTCGCTCACAGCAGATGATGACGAGGCGGCGTTGCCACCGTCCTTCAGAGAACAGCCCGTGCTTTTGCAGGTGAAGGATGAGGATGGAAGTCTGTGGAGCTTCCGGCGGTGTACAATATTAATTAGACCTGGGATTCGTCCCAAACTGTTAATTGACGATTCGCGTCAGTTTGTTCGTACTCGAGGTCTGAACACTGGCGATGAGATTAATCTTTTCTGGGAAGATGATAGAACTTCCGGCCGACCTGATCATCAGCACAAGATTGAAGTGATCAGGAAGAATCGTGTTTCGAATTGATGTATATAAACCAACTGAGAAATGCAATTTCTTTTTTCATTTTTCTTTTTTATTTGCAGCAAGTACATTTGTATTGGCCATGGGTAATTAACTTCTGCAAATATTATGAACTTAACTAATTAAGTTCAACTCTCAATATATATAGATGCAGATTAAGCACCCAGAAACCACAGATGTCACAAAAAATTAGTATCTATTTTTTGGTCTCTCTGAGAAATTTAACCATAATCAACACATTGTTGCTGGGTAAACAATACCTTCAGTTTCAAAAGTTATTAATTCTCAAGTCAGTAGAAGAGTGTTGAGGAGGTCCACCGTCGTTCCATATCATTTATGGGTAACCAAGACGTTAGCAACTCCATCAGTTATCATTTATGTTTTGTTCTTACTGATATTAGCTCTATAAGTTGGGGATCTCTCCGGTTTGGCTGTAATCGAAAACTAAATTATTGATTTATTAAATTTTTGGTCATTTAATTTTAAAAATCATTAATTAAACTAAAAAAATTGAGTTTTATCAATTATCGTTTATTTTTAGCAATAATAACTATTCAGATAAGGTTTAATTTTAATTAAGGAATTACTTTTATATATTTTATATTTTTAATGTTATTTTATTAATTTTAATTATTAAAAATTTAAAAATTCATCAATTAAATAAATCATTTGATGAAAAGTGGTAAAAAATAAAAAAAATCTAAAAATTATTAAAAAATTTATATAAAAAGTTTTTGGGGTGTATTTTTTTTTATTATGCTCACCCAAATAATCAATTTTTAGACCTAACAACCAAAACCAAATCATTTGATATTAATTCAGCTTTGAACTCTACTAAAAAAAAAAAAAATCCATCAAATCCAACCTATCTATTATGGTTTCAATCGATTTCTTTTTTCTTTCAATTATGGATTTTTTCACCCACCCTTATAGCTCTATGCTTTTATTTATTCAGTTTGGTTAATTTTCAGACATTATCTTATTTGCATTAAAAATTTTCATTTAATTAATATAATTATAGTTTTTTAATCTAAAACCAAAAATAAAGTAGTGGTGAAGTCATTAAATATCATCTTTGAAAATTGTCTTTTATGAAGAAAGAATTCAAGGGTAAAGATGTAATTTTCCGTAATAAATGGTTGAAAGAAAGCAAAAGAATAAATTGCGCGAGCCAGGGCGCCAGGGCCACATAAGACTGATGTGATACCTTCAATCGAAGAAAACGCTCGACCATGTGCAAATAGAAGTCATTAATCGCGTGGTTGTCGGTCGATGGCTGTCTTTTTCTACGCTCCATATTCAATGACCAAAATTAAAAAGTATCACTATCACTCTTTCTTTTTTTGTGCCGGTCCGTACGCAACATCACGCGACCTGACCGCCAAATCGCGTGTTATAATGCCAGACTCTGGCGGTTTCGTTGGCGGCGGGTGGCACGCAGCTGATTCTAGAATTAGAATAGACCGGTCTTGGTCAATCCCACAACAACTTCTCTTTTTTTTCTTTTTTTTTTTTTTGTTAATCTTCGTATCATTAAAGCCTTAGGAGATATTTCGTGGAGTTTTTTAGAATTTTTATTTATTTTTTATTATTTATAAGTTTAAATTTTTTTCAAAAAAAATTTAAAAATTGTTTTTAGAAATAATAAAAAAATGAGTAAGAATTAAGTAAAAAAAATTTATAAAAAATAAAAATTTAAAACTTTTCAAAATTCAATGTTTAATATTTTTTAAATTAAAAAAAATTAAAAAATATAAAATTTTAAGAGAAAAATTTTAATTTATAAAATATAAATAGTATCAAAAAAACTAAAACACTTATAAATTTCACTAAACATGCTCTTAATATCATACCATTTAATATAATTACTTATTATATTTTCATATGATATTTTTTTTATAAAAATATATAAAATAAAGGATATAGCATTAATTATTTAGGTGTGATAGGAACGTTATTCTTTTCTTTGATGTTGAATATAATTAAAGATTGCTGTAATTATTAGATTTTGACAATTCAAATTTGCAATTATTGTGTTGAATTAGCCATCTACTCATATTAGATGAAAACTAGATTTGTGAGAATTATATGAAAACTAGATTAATGACTAATCTAATTCATATAATTAGTGTTTTATCATGTTAAGAAATTAAATTTTGAATTAGTGCATACAATATAAGCATCTTGTATTTTGTAGTTCAAATAATATTAGATGTAAAGTAAAATTTACTAAATGAAGGGAACAATTTTAATATCAGACTCATTTTAATCGTTTAAATTATACATAATCTTATATATAATTTAAATTATATAATATTTTTTTAATAATATAAATATTAAAAATAACTCATCACTTGGATTTTTTTACTATATTGACGATTAGTTAGTTTAATTCAAAGCAAAATAGTTGTTTTCATCAAGCTAAAAAGAAAAAAAAAAAAAAAACTTCAA